CTTGTCTTTATGTGTGGCCTTGTCCAAGCCATTTATGGAGGCTCACAAGACCACTGGCACCTTTTCCGGAAACCTTTGACTCAAAGCAGAGCCATCTACCAATGGGAGCCACATGCAGTGGGGAAGTGTGCTTCAGAGTAGAACCAATTGTAATGAGTGGCAGATTTACACCCTGTTGTAAAGGATTAAACATGGGAAAGAGACACAGAGATACATTTGTAGTTTAGGATCTCTAGAAATTATATACTTTTAAAAATAACCCCAACACTGCTTATGTATCTTTTAGGTGTTTTCTCAGTGCACCTCAAAATACCAGCTGCTAGATTCTGTTAAATACACCTGACTGTTCTCACTTGCAAGATCAAATGAAACTTAGACCTTCTGTGTACAGAAATAAGACAAACGCCTTTTCAATTTTTACTAAAATGTTTTAATTATATATAGATATAAATAATGTTCCATGGAGCCTAAGTATTTTTATGGAAAACCTTAAAAGTGCAAACAGCATTTCCATAGGCCATTGCAATGTCAGAAAGGTGCTCGTTTCTTACATAACGGGGGGAAAGTTTTTCAGGCAAACAGCTTTAGCCCTCATGCTTAGCCAGATTTCTGCACCACACACTTCCATGGTGGATCCCATGAAAACAAAGGGTTGGGCGGTGGCTTTTTTTTTCTTATACAAGTATAGAATTCACACAGACTTCGTTTCTAGGCCTTTGTAAACCAAGTCAACAACTGTGCTGCCCTGATTGCTGCTGCCACTCATTCCAGACATGCTTTTGCACTGGATCAATTCTGCCTGTGAAGAACTGAGCTATTCTCTACAGCATTAGACATGTCCTGTGTAAATCGGTGCTGCAAGAGTGTCTTCTGCATTCAGTATGCAGAACTGCTGCACAGATCTGCCTCCACTACATAGCAGGAATGCAAAATGCTCCTCATTATGAAACAATTATCTCTGCCCTTTGAATAGTGTTCCAGGTTCTTCAGCAGTAAATGCAGGCAGAGAAATGTTTAGGTTCAAAAAAGTAAAATAGATGACAAAATACACAAAGTATCCTTTCACAGGGACACTTTCCATTCAGCTATTACTACTATCCTGGATTTACACACACCGTACAACACCAGATAAAGGAGAGCTGCTGAGGAAGACTTTCAGTCACTCTTTCAGATCCCCAGTTCAATAAAAGTGTTTTGTCTATTGAGCTGATGTTAAGCCAAGTCTTGAATTTATTCTTACACAAACACAGTAGCCCCTAGGTTGTTCCAGCACATAGCCACATATTGTTCTGGCTTGCCTACACTCATTTGCTGGCCACAGGAGAGCTAGGAAGTTAGCATCTCCCAGGCCAGCACTATAGATGGAAGCCAGTAATTTCCTAAATTGTTCCACCTTGCCTACACTCATTCGTCATAGGAGAGCTGAGCAGTTAACATCTCCCAAGCCAGCACTAAAGGCAGACATCAGTAGCTTCTTATCCCCCATACTGGAGGAACTGAGCAGCTTCTGCCACGAATTCTAACACAGCCTGCTCTCCCTTGTTTGAAGATAAGCATCACTGTCAAAACCCTAAAGCCTGCCTGACAATACTACCTAAATAAAAAAATCCACCCACTAATCTGAGTTCAAAGACACCTGGTGATGGTGATTCTCCCTTGGACATCTGTTGTACAGGTTAGTCACCTCACTATTAAAGATGTATGGTGGTTTGGATTTGTCTGCTTGAACTTTAGTCAGTACTTCTACCTCTATACATCAAACCTTCCTGAAGCCCAGAAGCCCAGATACATTACATGTCTGTGGTTACTTTTACAAGCTGTACTTGGAATCTTGCAAAACACAATCGTGCCTGCCATTGCTTTTAATGTCCATCTCCTTTGCTCCCTGAATCAGCTAGTCTATCACTTTTTTTCTTGGGAACTTTGACTAACCTGTCTGCCATTATTCATACTTCGCCATTTGTCTTTTAGAAGTAACCACAAAAAAACCAAGCACTTTCCCAAATCTCCTTCCCATTCTAGTAACTCTTTCCAGTTTAACACACAACTGAGCTCTGCAGACAGCTCTTTACTGACAACCAGTCACAAAAATTATGAAGTTGCTCACTGAATTTGTTGAAAATCATACTTCTCACTTAGTGAACATTCGAAAACAGCACTTTATCATTGTATGCAAAGAAGAAAAAAACAGAGGTGCTAAATGGACACATTTAACAAACAGTAGCGGATCATTAAACACATGCTTCTAAGATGACATGCCTTTATGGCAAGTAGATCCTTTTTCATTCCTAAGGTACATAGTTTAAGCTATGCTACTCACAGATCCCCCCCCCCCCCAAAGTTTTTTAACATTTTTTAACTCTTCTGAATGTTAAACCTCTAGCTTTCTTGATAACATGTTTACTGTCCCCTCTAGTATCACCTTCTTACAGAGGTTTATTTCCACTTGCTTTGCCACTGAACTAAACTTATTCTGTTAACTAATGTCCTCCATTTTTTCCTCATTGAATGACAGGTGTAGGAGAGAAGCAGTTCTCTGACTGCCCACTATGACCATAACTTAGTAGGTTCACCTGTCAGGCTTTACATTCCAGGGCTGTGAAATATAATTCCATTTATATTTCCATTACTGGGAGGAAAAAACACAACTGAAAAGAAAGGCAAGCTATATAGCGCATCACAACCAAATTCTGCTGTGGGTGGCAGCAGGCACATTTTGCTTTTAGTTCATGTAGTTCACATATAGTTCTTTCTCCCAAAGACAGAAAGAATGTGGCTGTGAAATGAGTGTTCCATTTCTTCTTGTAGGAAAATGTAGGCTGCTTGTTCAAAAATATTTTAGAATCCACAACAAGGGCCTGGGGCCAGCACACACATTTATGACCACACAGTAGGTAGCAGGTTACCTAGCAACAGATGTCGTTCCTGCTTCAAAAATTGCTTCAGTAGCATCACAGTTTAAGCCCAGCCAGCAACTAAGCACCATGCAGCCACTTGCTCACTCCTCCTTCCCCAGGTAAGATGGGCAGGAGAATCAGAAGAGTATAAACACCCAGGTCGAGAGGAGAACAGTTTAATAACTAAAATTAAGTAAAATATAGTGATAATAGAAAGAATACCAACAATAATGATAATGGTAATAGTAGGAAACAACAAGAGAATAAATAAAAGCACATAAAACCCAAGTGACACACAATACTATTACTCACCACTCACTGACCAATACCCAGCCTGACCCAAGCAGCGATCTTCCCTTCCGGGTAGCCCCCTCAGTTTCTATGCTGGGCATGACGTGCTGTGGTATGGAATACCCCTTTGGCTAGTTTGGGTCAGGTGTCCTGACTCTGCTCCCTCCTGGCTTCTTGGGTCCTTCCTCACTGGCAAAGCATGAGAGACTGAACAGCCTTCGACCAGGCTAAATGATACTGAACAGCAACTAAACCATCGGCATGTTATCACTACTGTTCTCAGACTAAAACCAAACCACAGCACTGCAACAGCTACTAAGAAAAAAAATAACTCTATCCCAGTCAAAAAAGGACAAGTAGTGTCTAAAATGGAAAGATAATAAATTAGAAAAAAAACCCAAAACAGACTAGCAGTTGCACTTGGAAGCATTTTGCCCCAAGGAGTTATTTTCTCTAAAGTTGCTGAAAGCATTTGCCAAAAGCAGATACATGGTATCAACACAGGCGATTGAAAGAAGACTGAATATGCTGTAACACAGTAAGACTCTAATCTATTACTTCAGCAAAAGAAGTTGCTACTTTTGCAACTGTTGTCAGGAAAGGAAGTACACCTAAAATGACATGCTATGTAATAAAATTTATAAAAGACTTTAGATCTCGTATCATCACCATCACAAGCTGATTTATTTGGAATTTCACCTGGACAGGATGTAATTTATCAAGTTTTCAGGGAAATGTTTCACTAGTCAGTGCAATCATATCACATATTCAAACCTGTATGTACAGATCACTTAAACTGGTAACATTGAGCACGTTCTTGGAATTCCTGTGATGTGACTATTACACTGAAGTTGTAAATGACAATTCAAAAAATGAAGAAATATTAATTTCCAATATATGGAAAAACTAGAGCTAAGCTACCAGAACTAACAAGGTTGGGGGGAATATGTGCTGTGCTTACAAAATAATTAACACTGATTCCCTCTGCAAAGCTTCCCAGTTGTAAACCAAGCTCCTGAGCTCAGCACTTTCCAGTGCTGTGTCTACAGTATTCTGCTAGTATTTGCAGGAAACAAAGATTAAAAGATAGAACATTTGCAACTGAGCCAGTAGCTATGTTTGCTTAAGGTACGTGCCAGTTGGAAACATAGTTATCATGGAAGTTGTGACGCTGTTACACAGGACTTCGAACTACTTCACCTTCGACACCGAAGGAGTCAAAGAAGCTATACTGGACACATGGTAAGTTGTCTCTTTTAAGACAGGCAGTCTGACTCAAGATGGCATCAGATTATTATTTCTATATATAAAGATTAATACATGTATTTGCATGTGGTATGTGGTCATATATATACATATGACCATTCCATACCGCATGCAATGGGTCTGAGGCCACAACTTTGGGTCACAAGCACAAGACTTCTCAAGTGACTTCAGGGCTCCCCAAGCACTCTCTCAAAGACTCACGTCCGGTTCTGCAGGAGCATGCCAACCTCAGAGCCTTGCTATCACTCCTGAAGTTGCCACTGCCCTTTGCCCAGAGCAGAGCTGGGCACACCTGCCCCATCAGAAGGGAGGTGAGTTTGAAAGGACTAGGCACTACCACTTCATGTGCCAACCTCACACATATCCTGCCTGCCCCGAGATACTGAAAAAAGCCAGGCCACCCATTGCAGCACGGTGGAGAGCAGCGGCAGCTTTAGATGAATTCAGACAGGAACAAGTCCCGTCACCAAAATCCCTCCCAGGGGCTGACACAGCCCCAACCCTACTGCCAAATCTAAGGGCGCAGGAACAGGACCACGCACTTACTTTGTCTTTCGTGGCAGAGGGGACAGAGGTCGCCAGCTGCTTGGAGCCCTTGTTGAGCTTCTTGCCTGTTACATCGCGGCCACCGCCACCCTCGATCTTGATAAGCCGATGCTTCGGGGAGATATACTTCACGTCGGGTGGCGTGGCCGGGCGGCGCTCGCTGTGGCTGCGAAAGAGCTGAGGGGAGCCGGCTGCCCCGGCGGTGGGGGACGCGGCACAGCATGAGGAGGAGGAGAAAGCCCTGGGGGCCGCCTCGCCCAGATCCTCCGGCACCGAGTAATCCGGGCGGCACATGGCACGCAGCTTCAGAAGCGAGGAGCCGGGTCCGCTGTAGGGGTCCTCGAAGTCGCGGTCTTTCTGTGCTCGGTAGGCGCGGAGAAGGTCGCTGGTGTCGTCGCGCAGGCGGCGGCGCGGGAAACCGGGCGACGTGTGGTGGTGAAGGTGGAGGTGCGGCGGCCCGTCGGGGCGGGGCACGCTGCCGGCACCGTTCCTCTTCTCTCGATAGTCGGGCCGCGGAGGCTGAGGGGGACTCTTGGTTTTGTTATTGCTCAGGCTGAAGTACTTATTCAGCCATTTTGCCATCGTCTCCCCGGGCCGCGGCCCCTCAGCACCGTGCGCTGCCTCCGGCGCCCGGCGCGCCAGCCCCACTCAGCGCTGGCGCCCGCATGGAGAAGCAAGGCAGCGGGGCCCCCCGAACGCCCCGCTCTGCACACACGCCACTCCCCCGCCCCGCTTAGGCCCCCACCCCCGTCTTCCCAGCGCGTCGAAATCCGGCCCGGCCCAGGCCCTGCGCTCCCTCACGGCTCTCGCGAGCGCAACCCGATCCCCTCACAGCGCCAAGCGGCCCGGCCTGACCTCAGCACGCACCGGGGAGGCGGGCCCCGCAGCTGCAGGCAGGCCTCGGCCCGCCCACAGCCGGGGCCGGGCCGGATGGCTGCGGGGCGGGCCGGGAACAGGAAGGGGAAGGGAAAGGAACGGGAACGGGAACGGAGGCGGGAGTCTGTGCAGGATTGCTGTCTCTTTTTGTCGCGGTACGCTGCAGCCAGGACGATGTGGGGTCAGGCACTGCCTACACAGGTCGGGCTTGGGCTTTTCTAGTGCAGCTGCGGCTGTGTCCCCCTTCCCATCAGTGGGGGGGGGGGGCGGGGGGCTGTCTTTAGCCTGGGCTCAGATGGCCCCTACGAAAGGGCACCAAGCCCCAGTTTTCCTAGGTTGGAGGAGATGACCCCTGCTCCTTTACTCTGCTCTTGTGAGAGCCCACTTGCAGTACTGTATGCAGGCCTGGTGTCTTAAAAGGACATCGAACTGTTGGAGCAAGTCCGGGGGAGAGCCACGAGGATGATCAGGGGACTGGAGCACCTCTCGTATGAAGACAGGCTGAGAAAGTTGGGGCTGTTCAGCCTAGAGAAGAGAAGCTGTGTGGAGACCTCATAGCAGCCTTCCAGTATCTGAAGGGGACCTATAAGGATGCTGGGGAGGGACTCTTCATGAGGGCCTGTAGCAGTAGGACAAGGGGTAATAGGTTCAAACTTAAACAGGGAAGTTCAGGTTAGATACAAGGAAGAAGTTCTTTACTGTGAGGGTGGTGAGGCACCAGAACAGGTTGCTTGAAGAAATGATGAATGCTCCATTCCTGGCAGTGTTCAAGGCCAGGTTGGAAAGAGCTTTCGGCAGCAAGGTCTAGTGCAAGGCATGCCTGCCCATGGCAGGGGAGTTGGAACTAGTTGATCTTAAGTTTTTTCCCAATCCTAATCATTTTATGATGCAAAGCACACAGGGCACTGTGTATTTTGTTAGTAGGTGCTTTTCCCCTGTGTGTTCCTAGGTAAGGACGAGTCAAATGCAGAGATGATACCTGTGTGAATCATGCTGCTCAGCTTCCATATTGCTGGGAGGGTTTGGGATCTTCTGGACCACCATTGTTGTGACCAGTTAGTATTGGTCTATCTTTCTCCATCTACCCAAAGGTAAATATCTAACATAGCAGGTTTTCCCAAGTTCAGGTGATAGCCTTACCTGATTCTTTAGTCTCCATCCCAGTGCTGATTCTGTCTGGCCTCAGAGGAGGCTAGAGGCACTGAATATGTAAGTGAGGATATGAATATCATTAGGCTGATGTCTCCAGGTCCACCTATGGCCTCTGTCACAATAAAGAAGTTCAGCAGACAAAAGAACTACCCAGGCCATAGCTTGGCCTGTGGTGCTTCCGTTGTGCTTGCTGGTCTGGAACAACCAGCCGAGTTCTGGCTGTACTGCACAGGTGGAATTCCGCTTCAAATAAAGGATGGAGAAGGCCTCACAATTACATCTTTTGAAGGCTTTCTTCATTCAAAATCCAAACTCATCCATACAGGCAATAAAAAATTATTTTCCATTTTGAATCATCTTTTTCATCCCTTTAATTCACAATGTTCCAGCTTATGACAGGGTTTTCCAGATCCCTTTTGCTTTATCAAGCCCATGAATGCAGAGACATGAGTAATCTGGGGACTTGCAACACAGGAGTTATTTTCATACGGTCAAAGCTCTGCACAAGGACATTCCAGTTTCATTAGGAGCCATGGACATGTTCTTAACAGCAAAAGTCCTAACATGGTTTCTGCACAGAAGGAAGGCCTGACACTAGAACTGAGATGTAAACCCATTTTGAAGAAGGGATAGGAAACGTTTGCAGTGTTTGGAGAGTGATGTGAAGATGTCAGGAGCTAGTCACATTTGCACTGCTGCTTTTCATCATCTGGGAGATGGATTTCTTATCTTCCTTTTTTTATATTTAGAATAGGGGAGGGAAGAGAAGAGGAACCCTTTATCTGCTTCTGTTTACCGGTCACCAGTGCCCTGTTGCATTTTGGCAAGATCCTATTTAGTTCGCTGTTGACACTGCTGAAGCCAATCATCAGTATTGCCTGTAGCATATTTTATACACCCACCCCCTGTCATCGGTTCTGAGGCCAGAATGGAGTGAATTTTCTTCATGAAGTAAAGACAGATTGGATTTTCACATGACGTTTTTATCTGGTTTTATGGACCATTTTAACCTTCCACTTGGCTGCACATTCTTTCTAAGAAGCTTCATTCTCTCTTTTGAATTATAGAATCATAGAATGGTTGGGTTGGAAAGGACCTTAAAATCATACAGTTCCAATCCCCTGCCATAGGCAAGGACGCCTCATGCTAAACCATGTCACCCAAGGCCCTGTCCAACCTGACCTTGAACACTGCCAGGGATGGAGCATTCACCACTTCTTTGGGCAACCTGTTCCAGTGCCTCACCACCCTTACAGTAAAGAACTTTTTCCATATATCTAATCTAAATGTAAGGGAATTCCTTGAGTTTGGTCATTAATATGCAACTTGTTCATGATAAGGGTGTCTGTATGTTTTAGTGACCTCCTGAGAACAGAGCTCTTCCACTATGAACACGGGGTTCAATTATAATTCTTTCCTGGCAGGAAAGCATTCCTACAGCATTGCCATAAGTTTGTGTGGGAAGAAAACCATGCTCCCTTTACTGGCTTGGGCAACCATTTCCGTTGCCCAAAAGAAAAAGCATTTCTGTTTTTAGACCCTCAGTTTTGTTCTCACACCTCTGACTGGCACATTCATCCTGTCAAACTTCAGGGTTTTATTTCAGATCAGTTTCTCAGCCTGAGCCTGAGAAGTGTCCTCTTTCTTGTCTGGCTACTACTGGGGTCTTTCAGGGGGTTGCAAGACTCCCAACAGTTTTTTCTAGGAATGGCATGTTCTAGGATCTTTATACAGGGGTGAGTTTTTGCCTTGAAGCAAGCTGAGTTTCAATTTCTTTGGAAATCAAAGGATCTCATTACCCAGAAGTCTAGCAGCTCCCTAATTCCTGTTCTGCCAGTCTTTCCACCAACGACTTGGCTCCAGTGTGGGAGGGGGAAGAAGGGTCCAGGAATACCTCAAACTCAGTACTGTACCTTGTGGCTTAATGCGGAACTACATTTTCTCACCTGCATTGGCAGCTTGGAGTGACGGAATGATGATAGTTCAGGGAAGCTTCTCTAATATTTCAGACGTTCCCTTAATTTACCTACCATTAGATCTCAGCAATGGTGAGGATAGGAAAGATGGGATACTGGATAACCCCAGGAAAAGCCAAACCTGGATAATATCTATGAATGAAAATAGAAGAATCTGAAAGACAGGCATAGCAGAGAAATGAACTTAATATTTCTATTACGTGTGAAGTATGCCAATCTCAAAGGTTGTTTCAGCTTGAGTCTTCAAGAACCACAGCATTCTCGGATGTGCACAGGGTGCTTTCCAACCTCAGTCTGTTAATGCAGGGTATATCTGCACCTGCAGAACTCTTAGTCTGTCTCCAAATGATTTTCACACAGCTTTTTAGAAGAAACACACTTCATCTTTTCTGAGTTTTGAATGGAGTTATGAGTTATGGTTGGTTTGTTTCTGAAATGTTTCTTTACTAACTATGGGTTTGGAGGGGTAGTGGTGAAAGGGAACTTTCTTAAAACTTCTCTGTGAAATTACAGAATAAAGTGTTATGATCTAAGTTGAACATCTGCTTCTGCTTGGCTCTGCATCTCTTGTAGTAGAAGTACCAGGAAAGGCTTTGCAATTTGTTCCAGCTTAGAGAGTGAGTAATAAAGAGATGCTTACCTCTGCTGAGACCAGATGAAGAGCTGGCATTTGATACATGTCTGTTATTGCACACAAGTAATTAATTTGTGTTGACAAAGTAGTCACAGTCCTAATCATACTAATTTAAATAAATAATGAAGTTAAGTAGCAACTACACTGAAATTCAAGACATTTATTTCCACTCATTCTTCTGGTTTTCATGTGTAATAAATGTTGCAGTACACGCAGTGCGTTTCAAATTAAAAAGGAAAAAGCAGGTAACATAGGAAAGAACTTTCTGGATTAATAAACACCCAAATGGTGCTGCCATATCTAACTTCAGAGTTATCCTACAAGAAAACAAGTCCAACATTTTCAGTATTGATCAATTCTTCATATTGAAATATTTACAACAAAACTGGAAAGGAGGAAAATCCTTTTGTTAGTATGGCTTGGGCTAAGCAAAAGATCACAAGCATTCAGCATGTTAAGAATGTCATCACAAAATATAGGAATGTTCTCTTGTTTGATACACTTCCTTTTTGCTGACTTCTGTTGAGTAGTTCAGGAAGAGTGTAGCATTCATAGTGCACTTGTATTCCTCCTATTTGTGCATATTGCATCATATTCAGGTAATGACTACAGATAAGTTTGCCACCCACAGGCTATCATAAAATGGCATTAGTTATGTTAACCACATTACCAGCTGTCAGGAACAGGGGTACCAGTCACACTACTTTGTAGTAATCATTATGTATTGCTTTGTAGTTGACTGTGTCAGTGCTTCTCAATCTACCTAGTTTTCCTAGGCCCTCTTGAAGACCTCGAACTTTTGCCTACATGTAAGGTAATCTACACAAATGTAAATCACCATCATACTTTGCCAGCTCAGTGTTCAGACTGTCTTCCAAGTCACAAGTTAATGACCCTTAGCAATCCTAGCATGGATCCCACAGGCTTGCTGCTGTTAGCTTCTCACAGAGGTGAGAATTGGCTGTTTATGACAGCCAGTTATGTTTGGTCTTGCAGTGTCTGTGCCCAGGTCAAGAGAAAGCCACAGGACACTTAACAACTCCTGAGTGGCTATGTGAAATTATTGCAATGTATATTATTGTGAACATGCCTGCATCTTAGGGG